CATACTACTGCTGAAAAAGGTGTGATTTTTTGAGATTGGCTTCTTATTTCAGGATAATCTTACCTAACCCGTGACAGGCATAGGAAAGGAGCTCTACAAATCTAAACCCTGTAGGTTAAGTAAAAATGTGATTTGTAAATTAAATAAGAACTGTAGTTTTAGATTCTCATGTCCCTCACTGGGGGACTTTGTGGGTCTCTGCGGTTGAGCAGTACCTTCCCAGCCCGGGTCGCACCACGCGCTGCTGACGTCTTGGTGTGTTATGTGTGAACGGCCCCTCGATATAGGACTCGCACTTCTTCACCTAGACAGGGGCCCTGCAGTAGGTTACTAGTCCCCCTGGTGGACATCATCCTGTGTGACTCTACTGCTCCAAACCTTACCTTTTCCTCGTGGGGTCACAGGCTTCATCGTTGCCCTTCTTCTCCCCCCATCTCCGACTGTGACATTCTAGAGTTTTCTCTTTGATGAGCTGTGTAACATCAGCGTCTTGGCCTCCCTTCCCTTCTTCCCTGCGTCCTACGATCTGCCGGGGAACATGTCATCCTCCTCCTTACTATTATCAGAGCGCTACAAAAGGGGCCCAGCCTGAGCCAGCCAGCCAGGCTCTGGAAGAGCCTGTTCATTTCCAAATGCCCCTGTCACCATCTCACCCCACTCCCCCATGGCCCCAAGGGCCCATGTCCTAGTGCTTTCCCTAAGATCACCGAAGCGTCCTCTAGGACAAGGGGGGTTCCGCCTCTCTCCTGTGCCAGTGCACCCTGGGAGAGCTGGCCTTCCAATAGAACTGTGGAATGTTGGCAACAGGTGAGGAGCTCCATGGCGATGAGGCCATCCACCAGGCTCAGGCAGCCTCTGTCCCAGTCCAGGATCCTGCAGGGAGCTTGAAGAGGACAGGAATTGGGTGTAAGTCCTTGCCGGCCTCCCAGGCCAGGTCCACAGGGGTGCTCACAGTGGCTCTCTGAATGACTGCAGAAGGGCCAGCCTGCCTCCTGCCTGCCACCACAGGGCTCAGGGCTCCCTCCTCTGCCGCTGGGGCTCCAGGTGGGGATGGCAGCAGTCCCGAGCCAGCATCCACGCACCTATTGTCCACTGAGTGGTCACAGCAGCTCCGTGAGGTGAACTACAGGCCCAAGCCACTAGCAGGCAGGGCCCCTGCGACAGCGTTTGGGCCAGTGGCATACAGAGGCCAGAGCAGGATCAGATCTAAGGTCCAGCTCTTCTCTCATTCCCCCACCCCGGTCCAGTCAGCCACAACTCATCCAGAATCCGGTCACTTCTCAGCCCATGTCGATTCCAACAGAAACCCCTGCAGCACCCTCCTAGGGGACATCTCCCACCTCCACCGTCCTCGCCTGCAGTCCCTTCTCAACACGTGGCCAGAGCCATCTCCTGAGCCTGCTCAGAAGCCTCCAGGGGCTCCCAGGGGGCTCAGAGGGAGAGCCCTGGTCCTCACCATGCCCACAGGGCTCTGTGATCTGTGCCCGTGTGAATATGAGCACGCATGTGTGCATATGTGCACAGACCCACACAAATGCACACAGTACATCTAAACTGTGTCTGTGGTACTAAAATTTCATGGGAAGTATTAAAAAAAAGTCTAAAAAGACTCCTTGGAGGGAGATGATAATGAAAAAAAGGCTGAGAAACACTGCTGAATGAAAGAAGCTAGAGTGAAAAAGCTACATACTGTATGATTCCATTTATTTGACTTTCTGGAAAAGGCAAAACTATAGGCATGGAGAACAGGTCAGTGGTTGCAGCGGGGAGTTGGGGGGGTGGGGGGGATGCCAGCTATGAAGGGGCAGCACTGGGGATTTTGAGGGTGATGGAACATCGTATATCCTGATTGCGGTGCTTGTTCACAGCTGCATGTTAGTCAACTCAAGAAAATGTACATACACTAGAAACTTTCTGTACATAAATTTTACCTCAAAAACCCAACTAAGAAAAAAAGAGGACAGCTCAACCCTTTCTCACTGAAGTGCAGAAGACAGCTACTTATTTAAAATGTTCCTTGAGGGATTTTCTCAGGAATCCTCTTCCTAAGGGATGTTGGAAAAGGAGATGTTTGTTATGCAGCAATAGATGACAGCTACAGAACAGCTGCTGTGCTGCAGTATCAGAATCCTTTGGGGAGTTTGCAAAACTACGAATGCTCAAACCCTCTCCCCAGAGATCACAGTCCAGCATGCCAGGGCTGGGCAGGCCTCTCTCTCTTACTAAGCTCCCTGGTGGCGCTGAGCTTCATGCCCACCCACCCCATGGGGAGCCATCCCACTGGCCCTGACTTAATGGCCATGGCCTCCTCCTGACCACCAGGAGCCAGGGGAAATGTGTGAGGTAAGGTGGCCTCAGTACTGGGAAGAACCACAACTCTGGAGCATCGTGGAGACCCCGTTCCTGGGCCCCTGCTGAGCTTCTGGGAGTGATGTCCCCCCCCCCAGGTAGAGAGGGAGGCAGGTGAGGACACAGCCTCACCTGCCATCCTGGCCCTGCAGGCGCTGGGCCAGGTGTCACGCAAGCCAGGCACCACAAGTCCAGCTGCGCCCACTTCCATCTCGGCCTTGACCCTTCACTGCACTGGGGATAGACCATGCCCTGATGCAGCGCTGAGGGTCAAGGGGAAGCCACCTGAGCCTATTTTGGGGACGTTCCGCACTATAACCAGAGCAGGACTGAGACCCTGCCACTTCGTTCACTGCTGTGTCGCCTGGGCTCGGCACTCTGTTCGGGGCATGGAGGTGCAGATACTGACCCAGTGGTTCTCCACCACTGCCCCCCCAGGGACACTGGCCACTTCTGGAGGTGTTTTGGGTTGTCACAATAGGGGAGGCCAGGGATGCTGCTGGGTGCCCTACAGCGCGGCTGACAGCCCCAGCACAGAATCTCCCGGCCCCCAACATAGAGACGGAGTGCCGGGTGGAGAAGCCCTGCTCCAAACGAGCAGTGAGGGCTCAGGGACTGAGGATCCCTGGGGGTCATGGTGAGGCAGCCACAGGGTTGGCTCCCAGTGAACATCTTAGGTCTGCAGCTGGGCCTGGGCCGCGGGCACGTAAACATGCCCACAGGGGAGAGCAGGACTGTCTGGGGGTGGACCTCGCCGCCTGAGCTGCTTCTCAGGCCTCTCTCTGGGGCCCCCACGCATGTCCTGGGTGGTCTGCTGCCTCTTTCCCCCTGATTCTGCTTCCCAAGAAGCACCTGTTCACCCCAGGGCTGGGCAGACCAGGGCCCGGGCATCACACAAGGGCCAGCAGGCGTGGGAAGGGGGTGCCAGGTGCCCGCCCTCTACCATGAGCAGAGCGTTTGTCCCCAGCGGCTGTGCAGTGTCTGAAAACCACATTCTGGGAAGGAGCCAGGATGGAGGCCTTCTATCACTGTTGGATTTTGAGGTCAAAATGGGGGAAATGTCTGAAAACTTGATGTGAGTAGCATTTCTTTCTTTGTAGTTTTCACCTTGCTGTCTGGGCTCACGCACGTATGCAGTGACCCTAAGTCTCCACTAGAGGTCGGCCTGCAAAGAGACCCCTTTTGACGAGGCAGAGGGGAGATCCCGCCAACACAGCCTCCTGCGGGAGAGGACGGCACGCCTCCGTCCAGCCAGTGGCAATGTGAGGCTTCAGGGACAAGAGGGCTAAGCGACCCCCCAGATGGAGGACGGGACCTGGCCACAACCCCCTCAGCTCTCCCAGCCTGGCTGGATGGGAACATGAGGTACTTTTACTTTCGATGTCAAATATTTGAATTTTTTACAAGAATATTACTTTTGTAAACAGGAAAAAAAAGATAAATGAGATCCTGAGCTGTGTGCCCAGCCACAGGGCACAGCCCCTGCCCTGTCCACCCTGCTCTCAGAGAAGGCAAACTCACTTTGACTTTAGCCTTTGAAAACCCACTGTGGCCGACACTCCCTTGGGGCCACCTTGTGGGGGATGGGGACACCAGCCGAGGTCAGAGCGAGGGATCCAGGGACCTACGGTGTCTGAGTTCCAAGGGGTCACTCGCCGTTCTGTTCCATAACTGGGAAAATCAAAAACTTTATTGGTTGAGATGAGGTGTGAGAACTGCAGGCTCCCACCCACGATTCAGGCCCCTCCCACATCCACAGCCCATGCTGTTTAAGGCTCCAGCCTCCATCTGAATCACATCCCAGAAGAAACAAATTACAAAGCACACACGGTTTCAAAAACTGATTTATGGAGAAACAACTCTGCAGGGTCATCCTGTCCCGGTGACAGTGTCGGGGCCCAGACTCACAGCAGCTGCTTCCTCGGGTCGTCCCCTGCCCCAGCCCCAACCAGCAAACCCCAGCAGATGCCTGAGCGTGACCACGACTCTTCCCAGGGCATGGCATTTCAAAATCAAACAGCATAAATATTTTTCTTCGCCAAGTTGGTTATATGATCTCAAACAACAAAAAGTAAAATTTCGCTAAAAAAGCAAAAGGTTCTGAGCGCTTCGTGTGTTTTGGCTGGTCTCCCTGCGAGCACTGACAGGACCCGGAAGAGGGAGTGCCTTCCTGCCGGAGCCTCACCAGCACCCACACCCCTGAAGGCCGGCCTGCAGGCCACTGAGCTGTAAATGACCCAGAGGAGCTCAGTCATTTGGCACCTTCTCGTTCCCAATCACAGTATCAGGCAAACTGATGGCATTTTCTGCTCTCTGAATACTGTCAGAACGTAGAGTCAAATTACATTCCAGATCTCCCCCAAAAAAGGGACAGCGGTTAGCCTATATTAACACTGGGACTGACCGTGAATGGGACGTTTTATCCTCAAGCCAGGTGGATATATATGAGAACGTTATATGAGAACATTCCCGTAGCATTCTTAAGTTAGAACACAAGGGTGGTGAGGGTTCCAAACGAACACGGTCGCTTTCCCCAAGCACCAAGCCATGCATCGGGTTGGTCAGTTTTCTATACATGGGACACCATGGTCATGAGGAACTTGAGAAATTCCCAGATTCCTGTGACCCAGGTCACCAAATGACAAAGGGACTGAGCAGGTTTCTGCTCCTCTCTGTCACTGCTCTCGAGCCCTGAAAAGTGACCTCACAGCGGCAGTGGGAGAAAACCTGGGCAGCCCACAAACTGAAAAGCAGCCCCTCAGTGTTGTCAGGGGTGGAGAGGCTCAGCCATCGGGGCTGCAGCAGTGAACTCCACATTCTCAGTGAAAGAGTCTGGCATGCCGCCTCGGCAGCTGAGCTCGTTCTGCATGAAGCGGGAGTGGAGGCCGCCCTGGATCTAGCTAGCGTTAGCCCACTGTGTGCGCTCTCCCACCCTTCGTGTCGGCCTGGAGGGCTTACCAGGGATGCAGGCAACCTGGCAGAGCTGCCCGGTGTCAGGGCAGGAGGGTTTGGGAGGGAAGGAGGATCTGGGAGGGGAGCAGGGTTTGGGAGGGGAGGAGCAGGGCAGCCGCAGGGAGCCAGAAGCCCAGATGGAGGGACCCAGGGTGTGGCTCAGAAGGGAGGTCCCAGTCTGGACAGAGGAAGGAAGGCATTTGAAACAATTCCAGGGGCTGGCCTGGTGGCGCAGCAGTTAAGTGTGCGCGCTCAGCACCGGCAGCCCAGGGGTTCACAGGTTCGGATCACGGGCGCGCACCGACGCACCGCTTGTCAAGCCATGCTGTGGTGGCGTCCCATATAAAGTGGAGAAAGATGGGCACGGATGTTAGCCCAGGGCCAGTCTTCCTCAGCAAAAAGAGCAAGATTGGCATCAGATGTTAGCTCAGATGTTAGGGCTAATCTTCCTCACAAAAAAAAAGAGAGAGAGAAACAATTGCACTGCCACGAAGCCTCCAAACCTGTTCACAGCCAGCAGCAGACGATGGAGGTCTGAGCTGGGGGGCAGATATAACCAGATATGCTGCCATGCCTGTGTCACGTGGCCAAACAAAATAAGGTCACCTGCAACAGCCTCATGCAGTGAGCATTCAGCCCCAATACAGAAGACTCCAATGACTTGTGTCTGAAAGCTGCAATCACATCACTGCCAATTGAGCAGACACTACAGCATGTTCAAGTATGTGCAGATGTACCTGAGGCCCCTTGCTCCACACCACAGACTTACCCCACCTCACAGCAGTGAAGGGGCAAGTGACGGTGGTGCCAGCGATGGAAAAATGTCCAAAGACCCTCCTAGGTCCACCTGCGACCTTACCCAAATCAAGCACCATAGGGCGTTGCTAAATTGGGTCATTCGGGTTCCTCGCTGAAACCTGGTTTATCAAAATCGCACTGCCAAGGGGCCAGCCCGGTGGCATAGTGGTTAAGTTTGCACACTCTACTTTGGCAGCCCCGGGTTCGCGGGTTCAGATCTCCAGTGCAGACCTACACACCACTCATCAAGCCATGCTGTGGCGGCGTCCCCACATACAAAATAGAGGAAGATGGGCACAGATGTTAGCTCAAGGACAATCTTCTTCAGCAAAAAGAGGAAGAATGGCAATGGATGTTAGCTCAGGGGCCAATCTTCGTCACCAAAAAAAAAAAAAAAGAAAAAAAAATCACACTGCCTTCAATGACTTCAGCCTTTGCGATTCCTCACCCACGATGAATTAACTGGAAGTTCCCCGAGGAGCTGCTTGTCCGTCCTGCCGTAGAGTGAAGCCGGTAGTGTTGGGTTTGTCCCTGCACACCCACCTACTGAAGTGGAAAACAAGAGGTGGCTAGGGACACGTCCGAGTGGGAAACAGCATGCACTCTGGATGACCACCCTCACCCTTCACTGCTGCTGGTCTGCCAGGCATCACACAGGCCGCTGCCAGCTGGACAGACCCCACAGGCCCTGGGGTCCCACTCGACACCAGAGACAGGGGCCAACGTGAATGCAGCCAGCAACCCAGGATTATTTCAGTCATATTAGTGGAAACCATGTATATAGGCCCAAACACTGGAGGCAGGTTACATCATTTAGATTTGAGATTGGTTTTTAATCAGAAGTGCTCATCTTCAATCCGTGTGCGCTTTACAAAGCTACGGGGGGGCCTCTGATGGACATGGGGTCCCTTAGAGTGAGCCTCAGGCTCTGGGCAAAATATGCATTTTCTTGATTTTATTTAAACAATGGTGAAACTCAGAGAGCAACAGCCCACACACCCAGCTGTCCTTCATTTTCATTTTCCTCGACACTTCATGGCCATAGTTTTCACTGTTCAGGGACAGCCATGCTTGGCACGAGAAAAAAACAGTCCCACTGCAAGAGGGGAAGGGTGATGACACGTTTAGGCTCAGTCCTGCAAGAGAAACTGGGACCCCTCAACCTGACTGCAGGTCCCGCGAGAAGGATCTGGGAGGTGAGGCGCGGGCAACTCGGACAAGACTCGGCTGACAGCACCAGGCAGACGAATCCGCGGCTGCCCAGGAGGGACCCCGCCTTCTTCGCTTGCCTCTCTCAGGTCTCAACAGAACCTCCTGGGAGGGCCAGCTTGCCATTTAGGGGCTGTGCCCCAGAGCTTGTCAATTCTATGATTCTAGGAAGCAAAGGAAGTTCCAAGTTGCCAAATGCACTGAAGCTAGGGCAATGGGGATTTTTTTATTTTAAAAAAAGGCCAGTCAGGGAGAAATTAATTGGGAAAAGAGGACATATTTCACGGGACATCTCAGGCTGGTCTCTACATGAAGGCACCACAAAGCCGCCCCCTTCCCTGTGCTCTCTCGCCCTCAGCGTGAGGCTCAGCGCAGTCCACCCAACAAGGATGAGCAACTGAGCCGGGGATGAAGTCTGCCCTGCCCCCCAGTGAAGCCACACACCATGGACGGTGGATGCAGTGATGGCTCCCTGCAGGCTGGAGGGAGAGCTGAAACTAATTCTCAGAGGTCTACGTGCATTTAGGGCTCTGCTCTTCAGGAGACGCTAAGATCAGCAGAGACCTCAGAAGGGTCCCCAAATGCAGGGGTCAACACAACACAGGCAAAATGCCAGCAGAAATGTCAGTGCTCAGGGTCTCTATGCTGGAGGGTCCCGGAGAGGTCCTGGTCTCCAAAGTGCGCCTCCATGCGTGCAGTGTGACTTTTCTAGTAAGCTACCCTCTCAACTGCAAAGGGCCTTCAAAGTCATCTTCTGCAACCACTTGTGATGCTTTAACACTTTCAAGAACAGCACCTGTGTAAGTAACTGCAGGGCCGTTTCAGACGTAGCCCTGTCTCACTTCCGGGACAAGTGGCTGCAGCCCTGGGTTCTGACATGAGAGTGTGTGCGGGGAGAGGGGGAGCAGGGCGTGGACACGAGTGCCCTGTCTGGAACTGGCTGCGGCAAAAGTCTTGGTTCTAAAGCTGGGGAGAGGCCGGGGCAGGTACACAGGCGCTGCCCCGGGACCAGGGCCAGGGTGGTGTTTGCAGGGCCTCCAAGCTGCTCGAAGGCCTGCAGTGATGTTCTCTAGTGACCTGTATCACTAGCCCCATTTCACTGACTCAGAAACTGAGATCGGGGTGAAGCGCTTTTGTCCAAAATCCAAGCGAGTCGCTAGAGAAACAGGAATTCAGTCCAGGGTCCCAAACCCAACACCCTGACTCCCCGGAGCACCCTTTCTGCACCTACTGTCCCCCCAACCCCAGGCTGCATCAGAGTTCACCTGGCCAAGGCCTCGCCCCAGGCTCTCGCAGGCCCATAGCCCCTTTACTCGCTTCCTGCAGAGGGGACCCCTTATATCAGCCCAGAGCAAGAGACTCTGTTACTCATGAACTTCCCTGAAGAAGATTTTGTTTTCCCTAGAAAACTGCCAGCAGGCCAAGGAGAAACCCAGTTTCTCCAGGTCAGTTATTCAGACGCCCTGCAGCTGGCCTCGAAATCAGTTTCATTCCGGTTCTTTTGTTTTTTTGTGAGACATGCTGAGCTTTCCCATCAGCTACTGACAACTATACAGGCCTGTGTTGCACACTCTATAGGAAGCGTCTCGGGGGGCTGGGACAAGACCCCTACGAGAAGGTGGGTGTTCTGGTCAGAGACCAGATCTCCAAAGTGCATGCTGCTGCTCTCCCAGCTTGCAGGGTCCAGAGCCCCGGGAGCCCCCAGCAGGGAAGTGGGCCGTCAGGAGGTGAGGGACTGAATGTTCTTGAGCATCTCCTCAAAGGCCTGTGGGGACGGTGCGTCCGCGTTCCGGAAGGTGGCCTGGACCCTGCTGTACAGGCTGAAGGATTTCAGCTCCAGCCAGATGAAGCCAAAGCGGTCCTCGTCAAACAGGATGAAGACCCCCGGGGTGCGCTCAGGGCTGGTGAAGCCATGGCCAGCGATGAGGCCTGTGCCGTAGAAACTGAACAAAGACAAGAGGGAAGGTACAGGGAGAGAGTGGTGAGGGGCCTGGAGGCGCGTGTGCTGGCCCAGGTCAAGCACCGTGTCCTTCCAGGTGTTCTAAAACACCCTTCATTACACACGAGCCACTTTCACTCTCTGCCAGCAGGAAGCAAAGACTCAGTAGGTGATGGCACCTGAGAGAGCCTGTCTGTGTAGGGCCCTGCTTGACTCAAAACGCCCAATGCACCCAGCTGTCCATGAAGAGGGGCAGGGCTCTGGGTGTTGCAGAGACAGACGTTCCCTGACAGAGCACACGAGCCAGCATGCTGGTTCACCCCAGATGGTCAGGCTCACTCTGCTGCTCTCTACCAGCTCACCCAACTAAAGGCCCAGGATCTCAGGCAGCCTGCCTCGTAACTCTGTCCCAAAGCATATGTCTTCATAACACAGCCCCAGCCAAGAAAAATCTCAATCCCTGGGATAGTTATGTCCACATATGAACGACTTTATAATCAATAAAGACTCATCGGCATGCAATTGACATTAACTCAGAAGGTAGAACTTTCAAATACCCACATGGCCAAGTGCTGAGACCAGCATCAGGCAGAAACACCCTTAGGTCTTTTTTACAAAGAAGTCGGTGCATCCAACGAGAAGTCAGGGGCTAGCCCAAACCTCCCAGCACATGGAATGGTGCCTGGGGACCCCCACCTCCACCAGCCATGCTGAGGCTCTACTGGGCAGGAGTGGGGACAGCAGCCCTGTGCAGGAGGCCTGCGATTCAGAGGGTTTCTCGGTAGAGAAAGAAGTACCACTGAGGCCACGTAATGCCTGCTGAGCTTAGAGACACACTGCAGAGGTCTCCTGCAGCAAGGCCTCACAGACACACAAACTAGACAGGGAAGGAGTGCAGCACCCCCCGGCCACAGGGCCCCTGACACTCAGCACGGGGGTGGAGGTCCGTCCTGTGGCTCCACCAGGTACAGCGAGCCCCCACACCAGCCTGTGCAGAGCCCGGCCCCACCCCAGTCTCCAGCACAGCTCATCTCTGTGCTGGCTGACAGGCAGGGCCCTCCCTAAAGCCCCATCCTCGCCCACTCTCACGTCCTTACCACATCCTGCAGGTGCGGGGATAGTCCTCGTTCCTCGAGCTCACACCCATGGGCAGCACAAATGGCTGCCCCTGCCCAGACTGGGCGGGCTGCTCGGCCGCAGCCACAGCCCCTCCGTCCCCAGGCTCTCTGCCCTTCTCGGCGGGCGGCTCCACGCTGAGCTGGGCAGGGCCCTGCTGGGGCTCTTGGGGGCTTTGCCGGCTGCAGCCCTCACCATCCTCAGGCCCGTCTTCCTGCTGCTGCTGTTCCTGCCGCACCTGCTCGCGAACTTCCAGGACGATGCGGGAGAGCTCATTGAAATTGCGGAGGTTCTCGACGTCAGGCAGCTGGATGCGGTGCATGAGGTCAATCTCCACCGTCTGCTGCCCAGCAGGGATGTTGGGGTCACCCTGAGGAGCGAGCGGGCAGTGGTCAGCAGGGTTCAGAGACCAGCAGAAACTCGCTCTGCGCGGCTTCCAGCCTAGATCCCGCCTCTGGCCAAATGAGCTCACTCTGACATTCCTACTGATTAAGCAATAACCCCTTACAAAGTAAGAATCTTTTAGAAGCCGTTAAAAAATTAATGCCTGGAGTAGGCAGCCCCATTTGTGAAGGGATCTTTGAGGACAGAGAAGGACAGCACCTACAAGTGACCTTCAGGGCTGTGACCAGACATCTCACTGAGTCTGCAGGCACCCGGCCCACTGGCTCAACTGCACTCAGATGGGAAATAGTCCATGTGACAGTTGAAGTGACGAGGGCTCAGAGAAGTTTACGGACCCTCCCAGGGTCAGGCAGCGGGGGTCAGGCCTGAGACACCAGCCCAGATCTGTCTGCCTGGGACACAAAAGCTCCTAAGCCAGAACCGCAGGAGATCTTCCAGGCCCTGCAGTTCTACACAGGGCTGAGGAGCACCTTGAAATCCCTGTAGGAGAGCCCCAGGGACACAGCCCCCGTTCTGGGCTCTTGATCACAAGGAGCTTTCCCAGCAGCAGAGGAGCCTACTGGCCTACTGAGGTTCAGGAGCACTGCTTTGCGAGGACTAGAGAGAGGTGCTGCTTCTTCAGGACACGTTAGTGCACCTGCCAGACACTCACCCCAACGACTCTGCAAAGGACAGGGGAGCACAGGGTGACGGCAGCCCCTGGAGCTGGCCACGCAGGGCCTATTCCTTCAAGACCCCCATTCAGCTCAGCCACCCTCCCAGTGCTTTCACAGCTGCTGAGGCCGGGAGGGGCAGTGGGGCTGTGTGCTAACACAGAGGGTCTCCAATGTGGTGGCACCGTAGGGTCACCTGGGGAGCTTGTGGAGCTCCTTACCCAGCTCACCCACAATTAAATCAGTATCGCTGGGGTGGGGCCTGGGCATCAGTGTTTTCTCAATGTCCCCAAGGATCTCAGCATGTGGCCAGGGCTCTGGAAGTGCTCAAAATCCCCCAGAGATCTTGTGGAATGCAGCTCCTGGTTCAGGGGGTCCAGGGCCCACTCTGAGTAGCCAAGGTGCAGCCCAAGTCACACCAGTCCCTGGCTGATCTGATGGTGCCTGCAGTGCCGGCCCCAGCAGGGTGGCCCCCGGGACTCACCGTGATCTTCGTGCCCCTGGCATGCCTCCCGTGGAAGCTCAGCATGACAATCTCCAGGCCGTGGCTGCCGTAGGTGCCTTTGAAGAGGCCAGGCCTGAGGAGGTCGTCCGGGTGGCTGGGCGGAAGGTAGATGCGGCGGTAGGTGAGGCAGTTGCTGCATGGGGAGTGGGCAGCGTGAGAGCACAGCAGAGACGCACGCAGGGCAGAAGTGTGGGTCTCGCATACACTGTGGGGGTGAGGCAGGGCAGAGCGGCCTAGCGCGGCCAGGGTTAGATCCTGCCAGGCCAGTGGGGAGCAGGGGCACCCCATGTTCCTGACCAACGCTCATCCCAACCCACGTGTGCACAGCACACCTCACACCTTCTCCAATTCCAACAGGGCTTAATGTGCTCACATTCACTCTGCCAGGTGCCCCAAGGCAACTGAGGTGGCGCTCTCAGTGAAGGGGAGGAGTTGCCGCTCCTGCTCTGTCCCCCGGCACAGGAAACCTGAAATCGCGGCGGGGATGCTGTGAAGGGGCGAAACAGGGGCCGCAGGGATAGGGCCCAAGGGCAGAGAGGCTGAGAAAGCAGGCCTCCCAAGGCAAACATGAGGAAACAACCACGAGGCTTTGGTGCACACACCAGGCCCACTAGAGCACACTGCTGGTGGGTGGTGACAATAAATCAGACAGAACAGATGAGGAGGGGATGGGGACTGCACTCAGAGTACCCAGAAAAGACTGCACTTACAATACCCACAGAGGGAGATTATGCTCACAGTACCCCCACAGAAAGGGACTGTGCCCACAGAACCCACAGAGAGAGAGACTGCTCACAGTACCCACAGAGAGGGACTGCACTCACAGTACCCACAAAGAGGGGGATTATGCTCACACTACCCTCACAGAAAAGGACTGCACTCACAGTACCCACAGAGGGGAACTATGCTCATAGTACCCCTACAGAAAGGGACTGTACTCATAGTACCCAAAAAGAGGGAGTGTGATCACAGTACCCACAGACTGTGCTCATAGTACCCACAAAGAAAAGGACTGCATTCACAGTACCCACAGAAAGGGACTGCACTCATAGTAGCCCCAGAGAGGGACTGCACCCATAGTACCCACAGAGAGAGGGACTGAACTCACAGTATCCCACAGAAAGGGACTATGCTCACAGTACCCACAGAGAGAGAGAGACTGCACTCACAGTACCCACAGAGTGGGGGCTGCACTTACTCATACTGACTGGTATAGATGAACTTCATCAGGATGAGCTCCTGCATGTGCTCGTGGAAAATGTCCTCCAGTGTCCGTCCCCATTCTTCCCTTAGCCACGTTCGGAATTCCTTCCAAAAGAACACAGGCTGTGAAAACCACCAACACACAAGGGCATGAAGAGGCTGCTCACTGTGACACCAACTGGACAAGCAGCATTTTTATAGCTGGGGTGATGCCTTGGGCACACCCATGCCAACGAGTCCCCACCTGACTGGATGGGATGGAGATGGAGGCTGGGCAGGAGGAGGAAGAGCTGCCATGCGTTTGGTCTCCCAGCACCTGGCCTCCCTTCCTCTGTTGAGGCATGCCACCAATGAAAACTGAGGGGCTCTGGTCCCTGCTTTCCCTCAGCACATGGGCCCAGACTTCACAGGACACAGCAGGGACCACACAGGTCCCTTTGGGCAGGGCTGGGGCCAGCTCATGTCCAGAGCTCCTGGGTAGCAGCCACATGAGCCTCACTCCCATGCCCACCATAGGACAGGAGGCATCTACACTGAGCCTGCTTCTCAGGCTTCTGGGGGAGCAGGGGCGTGGCAGGACTCTTGTCACTTAAACCGTGCTGGTCAAGTTGGCCAGAGCTGCTTTCTGCAGCTGCCAATGAGAAACAAGATAGGAACAGCTGGGGTGGAGAGTGTGGGTGGATTTTCCTCTTTAAAATGTGCCTTCATAGTTATATTGTATGTTCACTAAGTATGTCTGTAAAAAGGGAGCTTTTATTAACACCATGTCCCCAAACCTCAATAATTTATTGTGGAATCAAACAATGTGAAGGATATTTAGTGCTTAATAGCTTGATTCTGCACATTTAACATAATTAATCCACAGCTCTGAGTTCCTAACTCAATATAGTGTTTCCAATGATTATCTAAAATTAGCTCTACAAATACAAGCAAAAGCAATTTACCAAAAAAAAAAAAAAAAAAAGAGCTACAGTCTGTCAATTGCTTTAACATGTTACTGCCCAGACTCTGGTGAAGAACAGAAATTACTATGTGACTGAACTAAACAACTATTAGAACTACAAGATTCAATATATAAAAATCAGCTGAATTCTTATATACTAGCAACACAAAATTGGAAAATGAGAATTTTTAAATCCTATTTACAACAGCCTCAAAAAAACACAGGATTTAGGAATAAATATTATAAAACATGTGCAAGACCTCTACTCTGAAAACCACAAGACTCTGCTGAAAGGAAGTATAAAGAGGCCTACATAATAGTTAGAGGTGCCTACAGACCGGAAGACTCAGTATTAATCAGCAATTCTCTCCAAACTGATCTAGAGATTCAACACCATGCCAATCATAATCCAGCAGGCTTTCTGTAGAAGCTGACAAGCTGATTCAGAAATTCACATGAAAATGAAAAAAACCTAGAACAACCAAAGCAATCTTGCAAAAGAACAAAGTTGGAGAACCCACACTAGCTCGCGTTATGACTCACTATAAAGCTACAGTAATCAAGATGGTGATATGAGCATAAGTACTGACAAATACAACAACAGAAGTAAATAGAGAGTCCAGAAACAGACCCACATTTATCTGGTCAGCTGACTTTTGAGAAAGGTGTCCAAGATACCCAATGGGGAAAGGAAAGTTTTATCCACAAATGGTGCTTGACACCATATGGAGAAAATGAACCACAATCCCTACCTCACACCATACACAAGAAATAATTCTAGATGGATGACAGACCTAAACATATATAAAGCTACCAAACTTCTAAAAAAGAGAGAGAGAGAGAGACTCTTTGCAACTTGGGAGTAGGCAAGTTTTTTTAGGACACGAAAACAATAACCATAAAAGAAAAAACTTTCATCAAAATCAAAACTTTCCACTTAAATGGCTGAACTCATAAAGGAAAGGCCCTAAAAAAATCAAATAGATAAATAACATATGAAAATGGAAATAAGTGAATGTAATGAGCGAAGATTTCAGTGTTGCCATGGTGAATAATCAGACTTAAGCTAAATACCATGAAGAGGATGGCTTGTGAATAGTCATAATCTTATTTACTTTGCACAACAAGATCACAGTCATTAGGAATGTCAACCAGACCCAACTACTCAGAACAAAGATCTTTGAAATGTGTTTATTATGAAATTATCTTATAAGATACGTATGCACAAGGAAAAACAGGGGCCTAGAACATATAAGACAAGAATAAGTTTAATATTTATCCAGGCCTCGCTTACCACGTGTTGGCACTTTACAGTCATCATCTTACTTAACATGCCCAACAACGTAGGAGATGGGCGCAGATAACATTATCCCTGTTCTACAGAGGTTCAGGGTTTGGAAAAGTTGGGAAGCCTTTCCAAAGTCAAGTATTCTGCCAGCTATTAAGCGGCAGAATCAGAGCTACCCCAAAGTCCACATGCTAAGTGGTCTTGTCTACATCAGGGCCAACACCAGGGCCGGCGGGAGTGCAGCAAGGCAGGGGGCTCACCCACAAACCAACAACATGGAAAAGGAATTTGGAACATCTTCAGGGCCTTTTACCTGGCAACTCCATTTCTATAGGATCCAAAAACCAGATAAGGTTTTTGCAAAGATTTAGGCAGCGGGGTTACAGGAACAATGCCTGGTATGTCTCTTCGGTGGCTCCAGCCAGGCCTGGTGCTAAGTCGTTCATATGCAGTGTCCTACTCAATCCTCCAAAATCACTCGGGGGTCCGCAGATAATCGTATGGCCCCACTTTACAGATAACAACTGAGACTCCCAGAAGGTAAGTCACACGAGCACATGGTCAGGACAATAATGGGGACAGTGAACAGCTGGACACAAACCCCACGTCCAACTGCAGGAGAATGGTTACATCCGTACGGTCAATTGCACTGCAGCAAGATGATGAATGTTATGCTGCATTAAAAAGAGTTTGCAAAGAATTCTAATGAGACTGGAAAATATCTCTGGAAAAACAGTTAAGCTAAAAAAAATTAAAGATCCAATTAGACAGAGTTGGACTGCAAATACATCCAACAGTCCTAGGAAAACACAGGAACGATGGCGAACAGGCCCGGAGACAGCGCCTGCGTGGGGCTGTGGCACACTCTTCCCTCCTGATTCTGATGACTTTGTATTCAATGATGAAAAGCTATCATTTTAGTAATCAGGGGAAAAAGTATATAAGACAAAGGGAAACAAAATGAAAGCCACTCGAGTCCAACTAAGGGGAGTCCAGCGCCAGAGCCTTTCTGCTCAGCTGAGTGTGGGGTGCGCCACAAGCAGCAGCCACGGCCCAGCCAGGAGTGACAAGGGACATCGGCAGCCTCGCAGGGGAAGGTGGGGGCCTGGCCATCCTCCCTCCTTTCTTCCCCATATCTACTCCTCCTTGCAGCCCCCAGATTTCCAGAAGCCTCAGGTTGGGGGGCCTGGACAGGGAGGAAGGAGGGAAGATGGCAGCCCAGCCTTGCCCGTCATCCATGAAGAAAAGCCAGGCAGCCTTGGCACCGGGGAGTCAGGGTCTGGGGTGGCCGAGGGCTGCACTGCTCACAAGGACCCAGGGGATGTGGCTGCAGTTTGTAAAGCACATGCGAGGGTCACACAGGGGAAGGTCACATGGGAGGCGCCCGTGAGGGGCAAGCTGAGGACACCCCAGCCCTGAGGAATCAGATGGGGCCACAGGACAGAGTGGACTTGGCATCTGAAGGTACACAAAGCTGACAGAAATCCTGGAATTGGAGTCTGGATGCAAGGGGGGGCGGCTGTGCAAGCCCGTGGATGCAGTTTATTAACAAAAAACCCCAAAGGGCTGGCTTCTGGTGTTGATGAAGGGCAGAGCCCACGTGAAGGGCTCGGGGGGCGACTCTCACTGATTCCTTCATGAGCAGGAGGCCAAAGGGATTACCAGCCGGCACTTCCCAGAGCACACTGCCTCCAGGGCCAAGGTGGGTGTCCTCCACACACCCTCGTGGTGCCAAGGAGGGTCCTCTCCCAGGAGGGCCGGATAAGCTGGGGGCAGTGAATGGATTCTCTCCTTATCCGGCGGAGACAGCTGGAGGTCATGATGAGTCATAATCTGTCCACCTTCCAGCCCTCAGTTCACCACAAGTTCTCCATTCTCTTGGGAAGCACCACTTTGTGCCAGAATTTAAAATGATCAACATCAGAACACAGGGCAGCCCAGAATCCGGGGCTCAGCCTTTCACCTCAGTTTTCAGAACTGTCAGGACATACAGCAATGTCCACCTCTCTCCCAGGAGCCCAAAGACACTCCCTGGATGTGAAAGACTCAGCTAGAAAGTGAAAATGTTTCAGGAGTCCCCAGTCCCCTATTTAAATTAATCCATGGCCTAGAAGGAAAAGCTTCCCAGTTCTAGAAGCTAGCAAAAGATTGCTATTAAAACCAAACAAAAATAGCACAAAAAATATTAAACCAAGTCCATTCATCAGTGCTAAAGTCCTACATAAAAGGTGACCAGACAGCATCCAGCAGCGCAGAGCGCCACAGCCCATGATCAAATGAGATTTCATCCCAAGACTTCAAAATGGTTCAGTATTAGAAGTCTATTAATATAAGTCATTACATTACTAGGCTGAGGGAGAAAAAACCACCTGATGGTTTCCACAGATGCTCAAAAAGATTGGTAAATTCAACATCTCTTCTTAATTAAAACAAACAAAACTCACTTAAGGAAACACAAATGGACAGCTCCATCCCAAACATAAGAAGTATATCTTGACCCCAAGGCCATCTTTCTGCCCCATGACAACAGCACATGCAACACACCCACCCCAGCTGGGAACAAGACAGGGTGCCATCCACACCACCACTGTGGGCTGTTCTGGAGGTAGAAGCTGACACAGTTCACAAGAGTTCAAGACAGGGAGACTGGGAAGGAAGAAGTAAAATGTCATAATCTGCAGATAATCAGTATTATCCTGGAAAACTCAAGGTAATCAACTCAAAAATGATTACAAATGAAAGAGAAGTCAGTAAGATTGGTGGGGACAAAATTAACATGCGAGAGCTTTCATATATAAATTTACCAGTTGGAAGATAAAATGAGAGCCAAGAGTCCATTTACCACAGCAACAAAAGACCAAACGCCTGACAGCAAATGTGCAAGGCCTACTGAAGCAAATACTGGCGCCCCACCAAGGAACCCAAAATCTGTCCAAACACCACGTTCTTAGATGGGACAGTGCAACATCTCACCAATATCAACTCTCCATAAACTCATCTATGAGTGTACTGTGACTCCAAATAAAGTAAAAACACCAACAGGATGTTTCTGGGAAATAGCTAATCTAGAGCTCATATGGAAAAAGAAACAAGATTTGCCAGGAAAATTCTTTTTTGTTGTTGTTGTTGTGAGGGAGATCAGCCCTGAGCTAACATCCATGCTAATCCTCCTCTTTTTGCTGAGGAAGACCGGCTCTGAGCTAACATCTATTGCCAATCCTCCTCCTTTTTTCCCCCTTTTTTCCCCAAAGCCCCAATAGATAGTTGTACGTCACAGTTGCACATCCTACTAGTTGCTGGATGTGGGACACGGCCTCAGCATGGCCGGACAAGTGGTGCGTCGGTGCGCACCCGGGATCCGAACCCGGGCTGCCAGTAGCGGAGCGCACGCACTTAACCGCTAAGCCACAGGGCCGGCCCTAGGAAAATTCTGAAATACAAGAGGAATACAGGCGGCCTAGTCCTACCACATGAAATATGTAGTTATAAAGCTACAATAATCAGAATGGGGTGGTACCTGCATAAATAGGCATATCATGGGTCAGAATATCACGTCCAGAAATAAACCAAGTACATATGGCAATGTAGGACAGGGTGGCATTTCAAATGCATAGAGAAAATCTGGGTTACTCAATGGGATAACTGAGCTGGCATCTGCACAAAAGCAAAGTTGGGCTAAACCTCACATTTTATACCAGATACATTCCAAAAGAACCAAAGATATAATGGTGAAAAAATAAAAACATGAGCTCATTTGTAAATATAATTTCAAAGTGGGAATGACATTTTAAGATGACACCAGTCTAAGAAGCTATCAAGGAAAAGATAGATACATCTAACTATCTCAAATCAAAAATTCCATGGATGGGGCCGGCCCGGTGGCGCAAGCGGTTAAGTGCACGTGCTCTGCTGCGGCAGCCCGGGGTTCGCAGGTTCAGATCCCGGGTGCACACAGACGCACCGCTTATTAAGCCATGCTGTGGCAGCGTCCCATATAAAGTAGAGGAAGATGGGCACAGATGTTAGCCCAGGGCCAGTCTTCCTCAGCAAAAAAGAGGAGGATTGGCAGATGTTAGCTCAGGGCTGGTCTTCCTCACAAAAAAAAAAAAATTTCCACGGATGAAAATATACCTTAAACCAAATCAAAAGACAAAAAAATGAATGACGAAAAGATATTTGCAACTCCTATCTTGAAAGGTTCACTTCCTAATAGGATGGATGCTCCTACAAATCAATTAGAAACACACCAACATCAAACAGAAGCAGAGGCAGGGGATGTGAGCAGACACGTCACAGAAAAGGAGCCACAAAGAGCCCTTACACACGACACTAATCTTACCTCACTCATAATAAGAGAAATGCAAATTAACCACCAAAGTCAAGATTCTAACAAAGCATTTACTCCCACCTTAACTTGTAGGTGTTTTTTTAGTTTCCACAAGGAACTTGTGTTATTACTTTTATTTTTTTTATTTATTTTTTTATTTTTTTGTGAGGAAGATCAGCCTTGAGCTAACATCCGTTGCCAATCCTCCTCTTTTTGCTGAGGAAGACTGGCCCTGGGCTAACATCTGTACTGATCTTCCTCTACTTTTTGTGGGACGCCGCCACAGCATGGCCTGACAACCTGTGCGTCAGTTACCGGAGATCCGAACCCGGGCCGCCAGCAGCAGAGCACACGCACTTAACCACTACGCCACGGGGCCAGCCTGTGTTATTACTTTTATAATCAGAAAAAATACCATTCCATTTCAAAATCAGTGAGCCCACACACAAGTTGGCTTACAAGAACTTTTTCCAATTTCAGTGTATATATTTCCAGAAATCTATTATATGGCCTTTTTAAGGTCTCAACAGCTGAGGAGTTTCTATTCTTGGAAAATATGTTGACATTTTTCACTTAAATGTGAACTAATAGCAATCACCTATATGTTGTATATGTGATTGTATATGATATTTTAAATGACAGTGTTATAAATAAAAAAAGCATTTCCATCATCCGTCATCTTCACATGCCATATATTTGGGAAAACAGGAACCTCATCTACCTTCAAGTGATTCCAAGAGGCATGTGTGTGCACAGGGTTTATGTTAAATCTCCCTGCAGTTCTCTGGCTAATGGAGAAGCCATCAGAGACTCAGAAACTGGCTGAAAAATGCACACCCAACAAATAAATATAAGCTGCAACGAGATTCCTATATTTTAAAAGTTCAAGTGTTTCTTAAGAATATTTTGAAATGGCAGTATGACTTAGATGCTCAGAAAACTAAAACTCAAAGGTGATGTAAAATTACTTGTGCAAAAAGGAAACCCAAAGAAACTCATGGGTGTCTGACTCACAGGTTTACCCACTGTGTTGCTGTGATCTGGAAACCTCAACCACTGGGTCCATTCGAATAAAGCCCTCTGGTCTCCCTGCAACTCATATCCAAGAAGAAACCTCCGGCAGCACACACATGCTCTCGGCAAAGGGGCAAAGGAGAACTAATTAGAGAAAATGACTTCTATTTGGGTCATTCATTCTGAAGGGTGGCAGGGGATGAAAACCTGTGCTCATGTACACACACCCACAGGATGCCGTTTCTAACCAGAGAGCTGGTTAGACTCACTTTCTGCACCAACGAGGTTTGGATGGACCAAGGGAGACGGGCCTCTTGTTGGTGGCATGCTGACAATGTCAAACCATTCAACCTCACATTTGCAGTTTGCCCTATGCAGGGGCTGGTGCTCCACGTGAACAGAAGGAGTACGGGCTCACCTCTTGCCTCCCGCCAGACATCCTGTGGTGGTCCGTCTGGTTGCATTTGGTGGAGAACTCGTCCTTCTTCACAATCTTGAGTGTTCATGACAAAGGAAAGAAGGTAAGGAGTCAGTCACAGGAGCCCCACCAGACAGGGGCAGTACGGTCAGCCCCTCCCGCACCAATGCACCCCACTCATCTACAGAAGCCCAAGACGCCACCAAATCGTAGCTAGTCCAAAGAAGAGAGCTCAGAACCACCCTGAGCATGCACTTCCTTCTCAGAGGAGGGGTGCAGCTGAGAGGCATTTGCGTTTTCCCCGGAGGACTTCTCAGAGCAGCACAAAGGGGCTGGTGCTTTCCTAGCATGTCAGATAACACACTTGCTCATCAGGGTGGCCATCGGCCGCACCAGTGTCAGAGAGCAGAGCACCACTCCTAGCTGATATTCTTGCAAAGAGGAGAAAACGGAGCAGTAAAGAATTATGGTTGGAAAGCACAGATGGTTCTAACTGAATGCAGAATCAGTGGAGGTTCCAGCGAGTGATTCTTTGAGGAGTTACATCACAGCACGAGAGCATAGAGAATGCACAGAGGGGGCAAGGGTAGAGCACCCACTTCCTCCATGTCCACTGATTTTTATGGGCACAGTTCTATAGCTGGGAATACCACAGCAAGCTCAGCTGGCGCCCCACACGGTGGCACTAGGACTGGGAAGAACAGAGACCTGGCTCCTCTCCCACACTCAGCTGCCACGTCTAAGGAAGCCCGGAGCACGCACTCACCTGGATGTGGCCGTTGTGGGGCCCTCTGTGGCCATACATGCACTCCACTGTGGCCGACTTCCTCTCCATCAGGTGGATTCTAAACAAGGGTTTGAATCGCATTGGGTCATCCACGTGAGGATCATGGGGAGGCAGGTACATCCAGCCAATAATGAACAAGCCATCCACCTGTGGTGAGCAAACAAGGCACAAGTCCACTTGAGGGTCAAGATGAGGCGCTGAGGGTCCCCACCTCACAACTGTCCACGAGGACCACCCTCGTCTCTACACTCATTCCCACTGAGAACCTCGGGGCCAGCAGACATCAAGGTGTCCCCAACCTAGTGCATCAGGAGGAGCACCACCCAGCCCACCAAGTGCTTGTTACTTAAAAAGTAGTTATCTCGGGTCTGGCCCAGTGGCATAGTGGTTAAGTTAGCGTGCTCCACCTCAGCGGCCTGGGGTTCGCTGGTTCGGATCCTGGGCACGGACCTAGGCACCCTCATCAAGCCATGCTGTGGCGGTGTCCCACATTTATAGAGGAGGATGGGCATGGATGTTAGCCCAGGGCCAATCTTCCTCAGCAAAAAGAGGAGGATTGGCAGTAGGTGTTAGCTCAGGGCTAATCTTCCTCACCAAAAAAAAAAAAGTAGTTATCTCATGTAAAACATGGTGCCTATAGTTGCTAACACTATATAATATCATTGAAATCTGCTAAGAGAGTAGAATTTAAATAGTCTCACCAAAAAAAAAAGGTAAAAATGTGAGGTGATGAATGTGTTAATTAATTAGATGGTGGGAATCCCTTCACAGTGTACACAGATATCAAATCACCACAATGTACACTTTATTTTTTTTGTGAGGACTAGCCCTGAGCTAACATCCGATGCCAATCTTCCCCTTTTTTCTTGAGGAAGAGTGGCCCTGGGCTAACATCTGTGCCCATCTTCCTCTACTTTATATGGGACGCCGCCACAGCATGGCTTACCAAGTGGTGCATCAGTGTGCAACGGGGATCAAAACTTGCAAACCCCGGGCCGCCAAAGCGGAGCGCGCGCACTTAACCACTTGCGCCACTGGGCCAGCCCCACAATGTACACTTTATATACTGGAGTCCCCCTTATCCATGATTTCACATTCCGCAGTTTTAGTTACCTTAGGTCTGAAAATATTAAGTGGAAAATTCCAGAAATAAACAATTTATAAGTTTTAAAGTGCGTGCTGTTCTAAGTAATGTGAGGAAATGTCACACCGTCCCTGTGTCCAGCGGATCCACACCGTATACGCTACCCGACCATTAGTCACTTAACAGCTGTCTCAGTTATCAGACTGCTGCGGTATCCCTGTGCTTGTGTTCAGGTCACCCTTATTTTACTCAACAATGGCCCCAAAGCGCAAAAGCAGTGATGCTGGCAATTCGCATGTGCCAAAGAGAAGCCGTACAGTGCTTCCTTTAGGTGAAAAGGTAAAAGTTCTTGACTTAAGAAAGAAAGGAAAAAAATCGTACACTGAGGTTGCTAAGATCTACAGTAAGAACAAATCTTCTCTCTGTGAAATTGTGAAGAAGGAAAAAGAAATTCATGCTAGTTTTGCTGTCACACTTCAAACATGTATGTAGAGGAAAAAACGTGCTACATATAGGATTCAGTACTATCTGCTGTTTCAGGCATCCGCTGGGGGTCTCGGACATATCTCCCACACATAAGGGGGGACTACTGTATCTTACAACTTTGTCAATTATACCTCAATAAAGCCAAAAAAATTAATTTTTTTTAAATAGAAAGAAGTAGTTAGACCTGAATCCAAGCAAGCCTTTTAGAGAGAACTTCCAGCTCTAAAATGGGGGGATGGGGGCTGGGGGAACAAGCTAAACGACACTAGAAAGAAGCAAGCATAATAATACAGAAAGTTGGACACCCAATAGGGCAACTGACCTGAGAAAAAAATGGGGGTGCTGCTTCCTACAGGCGAGATTCATGAGGCAGAACGTGAGGGCCTGGTTTAGGTCCCGATGTGAACAAACCAGCTGTCAAAAGGCAGTTCTGAGACAATAAGGGAGCCTTACATAGGGACTGGTCTCAGGGAGTACCAAGGGATGACTGCCTCTTTTGCAGGGTGTGCAAAGGACATGGTGGGTGTGCAGGAAAATACCCACATTCGTAGAGATCTGCACTGAAGTAGGAACAGATGAAATGACGCAGGCCCGGGATTTGCTTTAAAATGCCTGAAAACAAACGCAAAGGGAGGAGACAGATGCCAGGACCTTGGCACACCATCGATAACTTGAATCTAGGAGGTGGGCATCTGTGGGGTCTCACACCACTGCTCCCACGACTCCGGGGGGGTCTGAAACGGTGAATGACAGAAAGTGATGGAGATCAGATCAAACGACAGGGCAGTCCCCAGCACAAATGCGTGGCACGTTCTCGGTGGAGGGGAGAGTCGCCTCTGAGGCTGCACTTGAGATGGCCCTGCAGTCGCTGCCTTCCCAGAAGAGCCTGGACCCACAGCTTCTAGCTCCAGTGACAGAGGAGGAGAGAATTTAATCATTTCTGTGGCTAACTGGTCTGAGACAAGAGCCAGTTGACATTGTTCTGTCACCAGCTCCATTTCCCCTACTTATTCTCTACTTTCAGGAGCTGCATTTTTTTTTACTCTACTGCTTACTGCCAGTAAGAAAACAATTACCACCACCAACCCCACCCCCCGACTACAAGAAAGGAAAGAAATCCGCCCATGCTGGGAGCTGTCTGCCATCCTCGAGAGGAACACTCTAAAAGCAGGGCTTTTCCCCAGTGAGATTAAACATAACAAGCACAGGGGCCGGTCCCGTGGCGTAGGGGTTAAGTGTGCGCGCTCCGCTGCTGGTGGCCTGGGTTTGGATCCTGGGCGCGCACCAACGCACCACTTGTTAAGGCGTGCTGTGGCGGCATCCCATATAAAGCAGAGGAAGATGGGCACAGATGTTAGCCCAGGGCCAGTCTTCCTCAGCAAAAAGAGGAGGACTGGCAGATGTTAGCTCAGGGCTGATCTTCCTCACACACAAAAAAAGAACATAACAAGCACAGAGCACGTTTCCACCAAATCATAAAGAATATGAAGCAATATTTTTCCCTGCCCAAAACCCCTCCTGGCCAGCAACATACACAGAGTGACGGAGTCACCAGAGTCACCAGGTGGCCCATGTGAACCAGGTCAGATGAGCCCCACGGAGGCGAGCCAGGCCCCAGGCCACCAGGAGGCAGACCTACAGGCCCTTACACGATGGGCGCTGCCAGTCCCCTGGACTCAGGCCTCTGGCCCCCAAACGTGTGTGCAACGAGAGGGAAGCAAGATCAGAACACCGGCGATCCCCAAGGGCACCCAACCTTGTTTTCACTGCAGCATCAGCCACAGCGACATTGGGGGCAGGCGCCTGCCCAGTGCTCGGCAGAGTACCACTGCGACATTGGGGGCAGGCGCCTGCCCAGCGCTCGGCAGAGTACCACTGCGCACTCTGGTCCCGGGGCTTCTGTGGGGACACACAGCAGGCCTCTCGGGGGGGACAGCCACGCTGCAGGGAACGGGCCGAGGGCCGTGCCCGCTACACACACGCCTGTGAACACTCCAAGTGAGACAACCTACATGTTTTAAGTGGGCCGAGAAATGAGCAGCTGCTTTTCAAACTAAGAGAGGCTGGTGACTGAGAAGCACAGAAAAATTAAACTGTAAGAAGCCTCTTCTCCTGGCTACGACCAAGGAGGTCATGTCAGCCGCCTCCAGCTGAGACCAGGGATAAAGACTGAGTGAACTAGAAAGTTTCAGTGCCCTTTGAAGACATCAGGGAGCAAGCAGGTGGCCCCAAGACAAGGCCAAGGTCCTGAAGAGAAGGGACAGGCTGAGCTGAGCCAAGGGGAGCAGGGCTTCCAGCCCTTTGTCCCCAGCTCTGACCGCTTGTGGCTGGGCAGAGAAGGGAGGCCAGAGCTCCAGGGGCAGACCGAGAGCGGGAACCAAAGAAGTGGGCCCCACGGTGCGCATGCTCTGCCCTTGATGCATTTGCTGAATCCTGAACTGTGAGGGCAAGGGACAGAGAAACCAAGTAGAAAAGGGGCTGTGAAGCTGGGAAGAGAAAAACTGGAATTCAGCCCTGGAGAGGAGGAGGTGCCCAGGGCCTTCAGGCGATCCTGAGGGGTATGCTCTGAGGACAAGGGCAGACAGGACAGAGCCGGCCCTCACCAAGCCTGAGACACAGCCGCGCATCAGGCCTGGTCAGAGCAAGGCACTCTGCTGACTCTATAGGCCAGAGGCCAGGACACCTCCTGGGGGACCAGCATGCGTGGCCATTTGTGTGGGCACACCAGGAGACAGGCTGACACGCCTGCAAATCCAGAAAAAAAGAGACAATGGAAACTGACCCAGAGGTCACAACCTTTACAGAAAACTTGAGTACTGAAAAAAGAGACACTCAGAAGAACTTCACCAGAAAACAAAAAATAATTCCAGACCTACATCTTAGCCATGATGGAGTAGCTGGGACTGGGACTTGCCCTCCTGCTGTGAACTAAACTATGAGACACCAGACCACAGGCAGCACAGGACTGTGACCGCAGAGAAGGGAAATAGAAGAGGTGGCCCCTGCCATCCCCTGGACTTCTGCTGGAGGCACCTTCCAGGCCGCAGGGCTCAAGGGAGGCCACAGCAGAACTTGGCAGTGTTCTAACTTGACGAAATGGAGACCCAAGTTCAAGGGCTCTGACAGGACTGGAGAAATGTGGGTCAAGGACCCAGAAAGGAGGGAGCTGCGCAGACAAAGAGCCCCAGATCTGCCGCGGGGCCCCGGGTCAGGATGAACACCAAGCCACAGTGACACTGCAGCCTGGACCATGAGTTGGGCCGTGAGCTGGACAATCCCCAGGGTCACACAGGTCTCGAGATGTTCCAGTTCCAAGCAGCCAGAGAAGGGGGCCCTCACAGAACCCCTGGGGCACGGAGTGGGGACCCCAGAGAGCTCAGGCCTTAGTCACAGAGCTAAACTAGCCCAGAAGAAAGGCTCCTCTACACCAGCCACGCAGAGCTACACCACGCCACCAAGAGATCGAGTGAGCCTCAGCCAGCTTCCCGCTTGCCTAACAGCCAGACCAGCTTAGGGGAGAGTCATCCGGCGCTCAGCCCCCTCACAGCAATGTCCACACCTCACGGAAAAGACGAGGCGTGCAGGAGGCGGGAAAACACTGCCAACACTGGCCAACAGCCAGTGTCAGTGTCAGGAAAACACAGCGGCTGAGAGAAGAAACATTCGTGGCCTCAGATTCTCCGGGTCAGGACCTCGGCAGCGGCGTGGCGGGAGAACTCCTCACGAGGGTGCAGGCAGGTGTCAGCAGGCTGGCCACCTGCTTCCAAGGCAGCCCTTGCATCTGCCTGGCAAGGTGGCCTCGGTCCCCTCTTTGTCCCAGACCCTGGTGAGGGTGTCCTCAAGACTGGTCACAGGAATGCACTTAGTTCCCACGGCTCTTAGCTCATCAGCCTTTCTTGCCTCCATGAACGTAACACTTTGAGGGCAGAGGGCAGTGATTCTGTGGCCTCTCCCAGTGTGACTCGGTGTGAGAGCTGCTCATGATGAGACTTGGGTTGTATATTTTTTGGCAGGAGCTCCACAGAAGTAAAGCTGCATCCTTCACACCACACCAGGAGGTCCCGAGGTCAGCATCCCACTGCTGGTTAGTTAAAGTGGATCACCTGGTTGGGTTAGTTAACTGGTTAGTTAACGTAGATCACCTGGTTGAGTGCTGTTGGCCAGATCTCTCCGCTTAAAGGCACCTTTCCTCCTTGTAATCATAGTCGGCTGAATATGGGCCCCAAAACAGGTCCACATCCTAACCCCTGGAACCTGTGACATTATCACCTTACATGGCAAAAGAGGACTTTGCAGATGTGATGAAGTTAAGGGTCTCGAGATGACATTATTCAGGATTATCGGGGTGGACCCTAACTGCTATCACTTATATCCTCATAAGAGGGAGGCAGAGAGAGGTCTGAGACACAGAAGGGAGCAAAGCCCACGTGACGTCGGAGCCAGAGAGGAAGTGATGCTGCCACAATCCCCGGAGAGCCTGGAGCCGCAGGAGCGGGAGGAGACCAGGAGGCCTCCCCCTCTAGAGCCTTCAGAGGGAGCGTGGCCCTGCGGCAGACTCATTCCAGCACAAGAATACTGATTTTGGACTTCAGGCCTCCAGAAGTGTAAGAATAAATTTCTGTTGTTTTACACCACCCAGTTTGTGGTAATTTGTTACAGCAGCCCCAGGAAGCTGAGACATCTGCGGGGAGATGCTCTGACACTGTGCAAACAACTTGTTTCCAAAAAAGCGCTCACCGCTGGCTTTACCATCCATGGAGGACCCAGCCCTGACTCTGGCATTACTATGGTAGGTGAGAAAATATTTATAACCAGGGCCTGACAACCCCACTTTCTGACTTTCTTCTAAGGCTTCTGGTCACCGCCAGCCCAGGCTGGTTGGAGGCCACCGTGCCTGCTTGGTGACTCACGCTGACACTGCACCCCTAGAGTGCCTCCTGGCAGCTGGACGGCATCTGATTCACACGGCACGCACTCCACACGCATCAGTGGAACAATAAAAGGTGCACACAACAACCGAAAGCTGGGAGCACCTCAGGGTGCAGAGACATGGCTCCTGCCACGACACCACGCCTGTGCCTGATGGTTCCCAGGGCCAGAGGGTGAGTATTTGAGGCTTTGAGGGCCCCACACAGCCTCCATGCATCTTCCTCCTTTTAGTTTGCCCACCCCTGATTTAGGGCAACAGACTAGTGCACAATCCAAAACCAGAGGGTCTGAGGGCATGAATGCAATGGCCCTCGGTGTCCAGGAGGCAGGGACCAGGACAGGGAAGGTGCACTCACGGCAGCCTGCATCCCGTCCTCACAGTGTCCAAGGACGCAGTGAGAAGGCTGAGAGCTACTTAAAACAAATCTTTGCTCATTTACAAAACAACCTCTGTGGGCCGGACCCGTGGCTTAGCAGTTAAGTGAGCGTGCTTGGCTACTGGTGGCCCGGGTTCGGATCCCGGGCGTGCACCGACGCACCGCTTGTCTGGCCATGCTGAGGCTGCGTCCCACATACAGCAACTAGAAGGATGTGCAACTATGACATACAACTATCTACTGGGGCTTTGGGGAGAAAAAAAAAAAAAAGGAGGAGGATTGGCAATAGATGTTAGCTCAGAGCCGGTCTTCCTCAGCAAAAAGAGGAGGATTAGCATCGATGTTAGCTCAGGGCTGATCTTCCTCACAAAAAAAGAAAAAAAAGAAAACCTGTGGCTCCCAAACAGTACCCTGCTGAGAGGTCCTCTGTGATTAGTGAACATCGTAAGGCACCAGCTGGCATCCCCTCTGCTAGAAAAGGCACTGCGTTCTGTCCACGTGGGCATCAGTCCTGACTCCACAAGTCACGCGTGGCGCTCCTGGACTTACCACCACATTCAGCAGTCCTCCGTATGGCCCAATGTCTGGCTGCCACAGTCCCAAAATGTGTCTGTACCGGTGAAGCACTACAGCAAGAGAGAAAAAGCAGGTGTTCGTTTTAGAGCCAGCCAGTCTCCACCTTAGAGTAAATCAGAGCAAAGGGCACGAGCAGCAGAGAACTGTGAAGAAATTCCTTACAAAGGCAAATGTTTACATTTGGCAAGTCTTACCTACAAGTTTCTAAAGAATTCTAAGAATAAAAATGTCTTTTCAAAGCATAATAAAACAGACAACTGGGTCATTATGAAACCCAGCCTCTAAGTCATCAGCTCCAATGACAAGGAACCGCAGCCTCAGAAGACCTAGAGCAAGCGCCCTTGTAAAGTGATGAGCCCCCCGTCAGTTTACAGAACTAAAGGAGTGCGGGATTCTTTAATAGATGGGGGCAGAGTCCAAAATGTCGTGGGACTGCAGACTAAGGTTTAAGTAGGGTCATCTCTCTTTTTGTAAAAAACCACATTCCCCCCTTCTTTCAAAAGCAGTGCATATATATTCACTGAAGACAACTGGAGAAAAGGAAACCTGGTGGCGACTTGAGACCCCACTACAGAGATGACCAGCCACAGCAAATGTTTTGGAAAATGTCCTTCACTTCAATTTCCTTTGCACATATATTTGTTGAGTGAATGAACGAACGAATGAATGAATGAGCAAGCCAACTACCAACTCATGCAGGGCCCTGACTGCCAGGTGCAGGGTCTGGGGTCTTTCTGCAGGCAGTGTGTGGTGCTTAATTTTATGTTTCAGCTGGATTGAGCCACAGAAGGCCCAGACATTTGGTCAAACATTATTCTGGGTATGCTGCGAGAATGTTTCTGAATGAGATGAACGTTTAAATCAATTTTGAATCAAGCAGATTGCCCTCCCAATTGTGCTGAGCCTCATCCAATCAGTCGAAGGCCCAAATAAAAGAAGGCTAACCCTCCCCTGAGGAAGAAGGAACCCCTCCTGCCTGGTTTCAGAGCTGTGATATCAGTCTTTTCTAACTTTGAACTCTAACTGAAACATGGGCTCTTCCTGAATAGTACGAAAAGGCTGATCTACCCACGAATAAGAGGGACTTCCCCCCAGCCTGACTGCCTTGAGTGAGACATGGTCTTTCTCGACCTTCGGACTCAGATGGAAACATGGTCTCTTCCTGGGTGTGGAGCCCGCTGGCTTTCGGACTGAAACTACATCAGCTTCTCTGGGTCTCCAGCCTGCTGACTACAGATCTTGGAACTTGTCAGCCTCCATAATTGTGGAATCCAATTTCTTATGATAAATTTCTTTATATAAAGAAATAGGTTCTGTTTGTCTGGAGAACTCTGGCTAATACGCAGTGGGAGCCAGGGATGGTGTCCAAGCACTAGAGCTGCATGATCGCACCAGACGCAGGAAGGATGGCCAAGCTGGCAAGGTCAAGGGGCACCTGGAGATGGGACAGCCGCTGTCAGGCCACCAGCTTGGCCTGGTGGATGGGGAGCAGCAAAGGCACCATCCTAAGCCTTTGCAGTGTGCAGACAGCTGGCAAGAAGCTACCAACTGTTACCCGAGGTTTCAGCCTAAGAACACACATTTCTAAATGAGTCTTGATTGTCTGCAGGGCACCTGCCGTTGATCCCACATTCATCTTGAGTTGGTTAGCAAGACACACAGTAAAGTCAGTCTCAGTATTTATGGGTTTTATGTTTGTTAAACAAGCAATAATAAGCAGGATCAGGAACCATACACAAATACTGAACTCCAGAGAGTGAAATGCACGCTCAAGTGTTTAGGGGTGAAATATACTGATGCCTGCCATGTACTTTGAAAGGCATCAGAGAATAAAGGGGACTGATGGAGGGATGGGTGGATGGAAAGATGTGCAATAATGATGTGCAAGCAGAGGGCTACAGAATCAGGTGGTGGTAAATGGACGTTCACTGTATAATTCTTCCAACTTTTCCATATGTTTTTAAAATTTCATGATAAAATATTGAAGAAAAAAATAAATGGGCCCATTCAGCATGACCCTCTCCTCTTGTCTCCTTTCCCCTCATCTCCCAACTTAACTGCTGGCCATGTGTGGTTCTTTCTAAAATCAATCTGATCTCGAAGCCCCTAGAAAGACTGTTCAAAGAATATGCCACAGACTTGGCAATTTCAAAGGGGGAGTTCCCTGTTTTCCTTTAAAAGCAGTAGCTCTTTGAAATGAAACTGCAAGCCTCCCCTATGTCTGCTCTGAGTGGCAGTCCTCCCTGGATTTTTAAGCTCTGCATGTGTTAGAAGAGTCGGTTATGCCCCTCATCACTCCTGCTGACATGATGTCAGCTCACTAAGCCTGGGATCTCCCCCAAGACCATCCAAGAGACAAGTCAGGGAAACCAAGGTTGTCAGCCAGACTGCAAGCATGCTGACAGAGGGGGGCACGTGATTTCCTAATGTAAACGTAATGCCCATGTTTATACCATATACTTTAAAAATCAAAACCACACCAGAACTGAGTCCAGCAGAGGGGACCTAAAAGGCTCAACAAACCCAGCTTGCTCTCAGACTGAAAGCATCCACTTGGGTCACATGAAGACTCCGGGTCAACACCAGGAGGGCAGCGACATTCAGACCTTCCAATGCCCGGTGCCCCAATGGGGAGGCCAGCTTTAAAGCAATGCCACTGAAAGACAGAAGGAGCGGCACCTTTCCAAGCACCTTCCCTGGTGCTCTCATTCGACCCTCGCCCTGACCCTGTCGTGGACAGATGAAGGGCCTGGGCTGAGACATTAGCACCCGAGGTCTGCGGCAGGCTTAGGACAGAATCCACAGCACCTCCTGGCCCAGGGCGCTCACTATACCCTGGGGCTTCTCGCCTGGAGGAAGATCCCCAGCTCAAAGTTCCTCTCCACATTGTTTCCAAACACCCGCAGACCACTCAGTCAGGAGAGTAAATTGGAATTAAGTCACGATGACACTGGCTCAGGTGCAGACAGCAGGCTTGGGAGCCAGGACATCAAGTCAACTGTTGTAGACCCTTCAGGTGCTTTACTGTCACGGGCGGGATGTGCTTAAAGAGCTCAACTCTTAGAAAACTACAGAAGACACACACAGGAGACCCTGCCTACTACATGCAGCTAGGCCATAAAATCGTTCTTGAATCATCACATGTGTTGCTGCAGAACTGAGGTTTTGGGGTGATGGGTGGTTCTATATGTCACTCTTGTCCAAAAGAAAATCACAAATGCAACTAATGCTATCTCCTGCCACATAGTGGCTTTTGGTAATTAGAACAAAATCAGAGGAGGGAACACTTCCTCCTCATTTTACGAGGCCAGCATTACCCTGATACCAAAATCAGACAAGGACACCACAAGAAAAGAAATTTACAGGCCAATATCCATGATGAACACAGATGCAAAAATCCTCAACAAAACATTAGCAAACCAAATTCAACAATACATTAAAAGGATCATACTCCATGATCAAGTGGAATTTATTCCAGGAATGCAAGGGTAGTTCAACACCCACAAGTCAATCATATTAACAAAATGAAGGATAAAAATCATATGATCATCTCAATAGATGCAGAAAAAGCATTTGACAAAATTCAACATCCATACATGATAAAAACTCTCAACAAAGTGGGTACAGACGGAACGCACCACAACATAATAAAGGCCATATGGGACAAGCCCAGAGCTAACATCATACTCAATGGTATGATGAAAAAAAGGTGGCAGCTTTTCCTCTAACATCAGGAACAAGACAAGGATGCCTATTCTCGCCACATTTATTGAACATAGTACTGGAGGTCCTAGCCAGAGCAACTAGGCAAGAAAAAGAAATAAAAGGCATCCAAATTGGAAAGGAAGAGGTAAAACAGTCACTATTTACAGATGACATGATATTATATATAGAAAACCCTAAAGACTCTACGAAAAAAACTGTTAGAACTAATAAACAAACTCAGTAAAGTTGCAGGATACAAAATCAATATACAGAACAAAATCAAGAAAAACATCCCATAGACACATAAGAATTCAGCCAGGTAATCAACAGAGGGTCTCTCACTCTCTCAGACGCACTTCCCGTTGGTGCCCGCACTGGCCTTTCTAGGAGCACCTTCCTGTTTTTATACTTCCCAACTGTCTCCTTCCTTCCTCGTAACCCCCCTCCCAGATGTGTTCTTGGCTCCACTTGGCAGACTGCACTTTGGAGGGGGCATTCACATCAGACTGTATCCCATGTAGCTAAACGCCCTGTGTCATTTGTGCTGGAGGGTTAAAAGTGGCCCGTTCATCTCACTGGGTGGTGGGCAACGTTCCACCAAATTCCTTCTATCTACTAGAGCAATCTGGAGCACTGCCAGAATTCTAGATTTCAATCTCAAAACCCAGAGCCCTATGGTTACATGAAGAGTTAAATTTTTAAGTTCCAAATGTGCTTTGACTGTCATCATCAATTCACACACACAGACATGTGTTAGATAAGTCATAAGGACAATACATGCCCCATAACACTCCCAACGCCTTACAGACATGAATTGTCAAGGATATCCAGCAACAACATACAGACAAGAGAAAAATAAACAAAAACAGCTAATCTGAGGCTACAAAGCTCCTAACAGTTCAAATCCACAGCCGTAGATGATGCTGACTTGCTTGTCTCCAAGACAGTGTCTTACACCCAAGATGTTGATCCTCTCCAGTACAAGAGAATGGCCCAGAGCACTGCAAGAGATCAGGCGAACACGAGGTCTCAACAGCTCCAGGAACAGCTTAAGTGGATGATGGAGACAGAAACAGTGCCACGTCCCCAGTTCCTAACGGCAGACTTCTCTGGAAGGTTTGGCTAACATCACCTGCACATACAAAGATTCCAAATTGGGGTTGAAACTGGTTTTCTTTTTCTCACGCATGTGAACTTTTTTCCTGATGTTCTGGGAGACCATGGAGCTAACAGACCAGTCACAGTTTAAATATGTCCACAGAGAAGTGCAACCAACCAGTGCTTATAGCTGGTTATTTTCATTATATTTTCTGGATTTTCCAAGTTTTCTACGACGACTACTATATTTTTATAACTACACTCAAACCTTAGAGGGGATAGCAGTCTCCAATGACAAGTCTATTATAAAGCTGTCCGCTACAAGCAACTGGGGGACATCACAGCACATGGCTAAAAATTCTAAAGTCTAGTACATGGCTAAAAAAGGCTCTGGAAGTTGTCTCCTAGAAACGTGGTGAAGAGTCTGGACTCACAACTCATCCTTATAAGCTACAGAAAGCTTCTGGCCACCCCTTAGGGACAAAAAGAACACAACCCAACACAACTCAGGCACTTCCTAGGTCCTGGCCACCACACCTCCCAGAGGCGGGTCAGAAGTCCATTCTAGCTCTGCTGTAAGTTCCAGATAGTCCGTTATTCCAGGAGAATCCTGTGACAGATGCGTGATGTAATGAACCTCTAAATGCTTGTCCATTTGTATCTAAAAGCCCATGCCAGGCAGGTTCCCATCAGCACAGCCATCGCCATCGATCACTTGTTCTCATCAATACTCGCTACGTCAATGTTCTCTCCCAGGGGCTGGAGAAGGCACTTGGCTCACCCACCGCTAAGCAGGGAGGCTGGGTCAGTCTAGAACAAAATGTTCTAGAGAGGCTACTTCCAGGAAGGTTTGGAAAAGAACAGAATTAATACCTTCAAACTTGGCCCGCCCACCCCCTTGTAGTCCAACAGAAGCCCCCCAGCTCCTCCTGATTGCTCACACCCACTACTGCCAAGGCCCCCTCGTCACTGGTCTTCACTCCAGCAGTACAACTCTGGGCTGATTCCACAAAAAAGGTGCGTGTTGTTAGTAGCCATGCACTGTGCTCAGACACCACCCCAAAGCATGCTGCCTGGGCCCAGACCCCTCGGCATTGACTCCAGGATGGTCCACGAAGTAAAAGGGGACCAGCGAGCACACTGTAGCTACATGTCCAGAGTCTGACGGGGGTTAGGAGAAATTCCATACATGACTATTCCTTCTGCCCTGAGTAGATTTGGCTAGAAATTTTGCACTTATAAGCCTCAGAAGTGGGTCTGCCCCACGCAGGCAATGCTGACACATAGAGCATTCAGAAGGGCTGGAGTAACAAGCAGGAGGGTGTCCCTGTGCTTCCAGAAACTTAAAAAACAGCTTTTAGTGCAAGCAGATATTTTTAATATCTTTACATCAACCGAAATTTACTCTCTCCGTCTCAGCTCACTCTAATAAAAAGCAGAGACAGCATTAATCACCTATAGAATATGGCTTAGGAAAATTTCCAGAGCTCAAGTAATGCCACTCAGAAGAGGAGTCAGGTTCTAAATAATCAACTGTCTCTACATACTTTTTGTCTAGTGTGGGTATATGTGCATGTAATTTTTTTAAATTCACATATGCTGGTAAAATGTGACGAACTATCAAAGCCTAGAAGTAAACACATTTCATTTTGGAATTGAAAGATTTTAAGGCTTCTACTCTGTCTCTCCTCTTGGCCACAATAAACGATAAATGTTAAAATGTGCATCAACACAGGGATCTCGATTGGTACTACCCAAAAACTGCTGTGGAAATCCTGCCCATATGTGCAGCCGCCACAGGGCCACCACTCAGGTGTGATCCTGGTCATGGCCTAGCCAGAGAACACCACGGCAAAGTGACAAGACAGCCAAAGCCAAGGAGGTCAGCTCGTGCTGTGAGCTGGAGGTCCCTCTCCATGCAGCCCTCGGCCGTGCTCGCCTGCACAAGCGAAAGCCAGCGGGAAGTACGTACGGCAGGTGTACACATCTCTGTACTCCATGTGCTCGTAATCGGGAAGAATTTTCATGAACCGTCCCGACTTCACGCGTGGGTTTATACCTGAACAGACACAGCAGGGAAAGGGCTAAAGATGGTTCTGCCTTCACGACTATGAGAACAGTTTTCACGACTCAACACCCTCTCCCTCACTGACACCATACAGTTCCCTTACACACTCAACCCCCAGAACCTTGGGAGGCAGGCGCTTGCCAAAGATGACAGGACTGGCCGGAAAGAAAACATTGTGACACATCTCCCACTTCATCAATGGATTCACGTCAGAAACTCATGATGGCAGCAAGTTCAGGATCCTCGCCATGCTCGTTCTCCTCCCTCGACTGCCACAGATCAGTGGAGCTCACAGAGGAGGGAGAGCAGAGGTCGCAGCTCGTGAGTATTCAGGGTGACCATTTAGGGAACCCTGTGCCCCAGCTTAGACATCCAGTTTGCTCAGCTGGCCTTCCTTCGTCCTTGCTGCATGTGTTTGTTTTGCTTTATTTAAGGACGATATCTGCCAGCCTGCTTCACTTCTGAATCAAGGCTGGGTGGCTCTACCATTTATGCCAGGAACTAAGGGTGATTTTCTTCTACCACTTAATCCAAAAGCTAAATGATTTTCTCCCGGATAAGGCCTTCAAAGCAAATTCACGAAAACATAGTTCCTGCATTGGGAAAATGATAACTGAAACTCACTTTGGCTGGGGCAGATTAAACACTTTGGGATACTAACTAACAGATAGTATGAATTATTATCTGGATTTTACAACCATTTTCAAGGAGTCAAGAATGAGCAGTCAAAAGAAATCCCCAGATGTCCTCCTTTGCCTGTCCACATCCCCAGCAGCCTAGACACACGTGTGTTCTTGCCATAGCCCTGTCCCCTCTCCTTGCCCACCCCCGACTTACCCCTGGTCACAGCATCTCCTGTTCATGGCAGTCACTACCCACCTGTGCCCTGACGTCCCCTCCATGGACAGCCACCCAGAGGGCCCGGGCAACCCCCTCCACCCACGGCTGAGATGAGCTCCGTGGAGGCCTTAATTTCCCATGCGTGCTCTCCTCTGGGTGTCACAGGTCCCCTGACACCTGGCAGCATGAGCACCTGCCTCCCTCCAGGATGCTCTTTTGAGTGCTTACAACTCTTAAAGAGAAATCTGTCTTCCTGTTGCTTTGAGACGATATCATCAAATGGCCTAACAAACTCAAAAGGCAATTAGAAGATAAGAACTTGTCATATTAGATACTCAAAGAAACGAGCTGACCACTCAAAAAAGCCAGGGAACTTTTATTGTATGTACACAGGGATCATGGTAGCGAGACTTCGGTTCTGACCCTCACACCAATGCCGGCAGCAAGGGTAATTCCTCCCATTCTATGCTCCAGCTAGATTTAAGACACTGAGCCCTGGGCAAACAGTGGAGGAACCGAGGGTGGAGCCAGGGCCACGGGGGCACCCACAGAATAGATGATGGGCGGAAGGAGGAACAACCAGCTTCCTGCCTCTGGAACTCTGAGCTTTGCGGGATTCAAAGTGGCACTGTTCTCGCCACCAAGATGAGAAGGCAGAATGGAGTCAGGCTCCCATGACCACTCAGGCCTCCCAGACCCACTTCCCCTGGAGAGAGAGACATGTCTTCATGGGTGGTGGCATTGTGGAGCAGAAGCGAGAGAAGAAACCAAAGTCTGAACGGGCACAGGGATGGAGAAGCTGGGAGGTCTGGAGCAGACCAGCCTTGCACTGGGGTCCTGGGCCAAGGACAGGGGCGCAGGAGGCACAGCTGGGTTGGGACTGTTGGCTAAGGGTGAGGATGAAGCCTGAGGCCCACAGGAGAGTGGGGAGAAAGGGGGGTGCTAGGAGGTGGCAGAATTGGGGCTGGGACGTGGCAGAGCAGAGGGACCCTGACAGCGCCCTCTCCAAGGGCTCCCAGTGACAGGTGGGAGGGAGCAACAGCCTTGGAGGGCACGGCTGAGCCACTGAGAATTGTGCATTTTGAGGGCGGCCTGGCTCCTCAGAGGAAGGTCCATGAAGAACTTAGAGCCTTGAGCCGGCCCGGTGGTGCCAGCAGTTAAGTGCACGCGATCCGCTGCAGCGGCCCGGGGTTTGCCGGTTCGGGTCCCAGGCGCGCACCGACGCACCACTCATCAAGCCACGCTGTGGCAGCGTCCCATATAGAGTGGAGGAAGATGGGCACAGATGTTAGCCCAAGGCCAGTCTTCCTCAGCAAAAAAGAGGAGGATTGGCATCAGATGTTAGCTCAGGGCTGATCTTCCTCACAAACAAAAAAAAAGAACTTAGAGCCTTTTGACAGGACATCTCCCCAAGCAGGAGCAAATTCTAACCCAGAAACACTAACCAATCCAACAATCCCAAATTGCCATGGGATCACAGAGTGGAGAGAAGTCTCTGATGGGATGAGGAAACACGAGACAATGAAACCACCCGGATCCAGGGACTAAACATCGCCCCGTGTCTCCCTGCAGAGCCGGCCACTCTGTGGAAACTCCATGCTCTACCTGAGCGGGGAGCGGGCAGCCACGGGAAGGAGAGGCAGCTCAGAGGCGGACTCTGAGAGTAACAAATCACTGAAAAGAGGGAATACAGAAAATGACACCAACTAGCAAGCCCAGGACCCCAGAAGGAAGCTTCTAGCACTTCGGTGCACGCTCGGCAGCCTGACCCACAGCAAAGTCCTGCTACCTGCTTACTTCTCAGTCCCAAACCACAGATGTTTCCATGGAGAAGCCCGGCCTCTCAGTTCCTGGGTAAGGTATTTAGTAAGGAGCATCGCCTGGTCTAAGTTTTCAATGGAGAACTGGGTAGAAAGTTCAAAAGAATGTGAAAACCAAAATCTACCAAGATGGTTGATGTCCTACGATGGACACTTAATGTCCTTTTTAGACAGGTCAACAGGTCAACTTTAGGCCAATGAGAACTGGATCACCATCATCTTACTTACTCTGTTCTCTAATGACACACGCCACACTCCCACTGGGCAGTGAACGAGTGGGCACTCCCTGCAGGACAGTGCTGTCCACTGCTCCAGGGCAAGGTCAGCGTTAACAGGGGCCTTCACAGCCTCATGCCAACGGGCACTGAGGAAAGGCTAGCTGAGAAGGCACTGGGGTTGGGGGGACTCTGAGCACTCAGGGAGTGTCGCTGGAGATTCTGGAAAACAAAGGAGCAGAGAACAAGAACTGAGGCGGGCTGGGGGGCTCAACAAGCCTGCAGGAAACTGAAGGGAAGACTGACCAGAAGGCTAGAGGCTGGTGGGGGCCAGAGGAGGGAGTGCCGTCACGGCTTCATTTCCCAGTTACCATCAGCTGTCAGCCCAGATTCCAGAGAAAGGGACACCTCTAGAAGTACACCAGAGCTGTTTCCAGTGCAGCCACGCTTCTCAGATCTAAAGGTCCCTGATGCCTAGTAAAAAAACACCTTTATCCCATGATGGACAGAAAAATAAGGGTAATGACACACCCAGAAAGGGAGAGAAGAGAGCCCCCCCCCCCTCATTTAGTGCTATTACTACCAGTGCTGTCTTTGAAATATCCATTATGACTTTAAAAACATGTCTGAGAATGAAGTGTGAAAATTAATAAAGAAACCTGAACTAAATTGGATGGGGAAGGCCGGTAGGAGGAGCTCTCAGGCCCTATCACTCATTGTCAGTTACACTAAACAGGAAGAGAGAAATATTTGCAGCTCCACAGCAAGTAAAACTACCTTACTACTGAAGGAAGAGTTCTCTCCACCCAGCAACAGCCCAGCCAATGAGAATCTGTTCCTGCCCTGAACCATTACTCTCCCCCAATGGACTTTCCTTTAGAACAGCGCCTCCCTACTCTACCTTTTCTCTATAAAAGCAGCTCCCTCCTTTGTCTCTGGATTTGCCCAGGGTTTGCCACAGCATGTGCATCCCGACTTGCAATTCTTTTGGCTATTCCCGATAAACTCATTTTGAGACAAAAACAGGCAAATTTGCTTTTTGAGTTGACAGAACTGTGGGCTGGGGGTCAAATTAATTGATTATCCATCGTTGATGCTCACTCTGTGTCTGCTTTTGGAACAAAGTTAATGATGGGTGATAAAAGATTAACTTACGCTTCGCATAGACGTCTCGACAAGACACACCTGTGATCTCCAGCTTCCGCAAGTTTTCACAAACACCATACTCTGTAACAAGAAACATTTGCTGGAAATTACAGTCAAATCACAAAGCAACAGAAATAGATGAGTGAATGAAGGGGGTTGGTGCATGCCTAAGCCTTGGCCTTATCTTCCGAGTCTGAGTCTGTCTTTTGTTGTGGAGATTTTACAGGACTTCTCCACATTGTCAACACCCTCATTCACCAATGAAGACATTATTCTATTCTATTTTTAGACAACATCACTCTCAACGAAATAACAATCTGCATTATCTATTCTCATAAACTCTAGAAGCCTAACTGCACAAACCCAAAATTAGACAATCCCCAGCTTATGAATACAGTGTAGTACAAACTCAGTGGTCTGGAAACAATGCATGTTCCTATAGAAATGAGATTGTCATTGGTGTCAGGGTTCCACAATGGCCCTCTTAACCCCTGCTGTGGCTCACCATGCTACTGATTCTATTCAACAAAGCCAGAGGTCCTACAATCGAAGACCAAGGGGAGACAGTGGAAGGAGGAGCTGGACACTCTCAGGTTGCATCAGGCTACCCTAGACTAGCAGCCAGTGAAGGGGACCCTTGACACCCTCCCCTCCTCCCCTCCTCCCCTCCTCCCCTGGCTGACAGCTCTCTCCTACTTCCTCCTCCCTGTACCTACTCCTGCCCCACCATGGCCCCACTTTTCAAAATCACTCCCCCTAGCACTTCCCAACCTAAACCTCAATTCCTTTTGTTCACATCTCAGCGAGGCTTTTAAAGGAAACCACCATAATTGAACTAATCCACACTAATACAGAACTGCCTGTCGGCCAAGAGCTAATGAAGACAACACCTGCCTCATACCAGCCTTTGCGTGTGCTGGGCACCCTGCCAAGGTCCTGTGGGCACCAATGCATTCAACCCTGCCAGCACCCACGAGAGAGGAGCTACTGCCATCCACATGTTAACCATGAGAAGGCAGGTGCAGAGCGGTGAGTGACTTACAGAAAGGACCACATGCTTCTTATGGGGGACACAGAACTGAAGCCTAGATGGGAACACCTCGTAGAGGAGAGCCCAGTCCCACCCATGGCATGTGCTCAGCAAGTGTTTGATGAGAAGGGGAGTGAGAGCCCCTAGGACCCCATGGTGGTGACCAACATGACCCTCACTGTGCCATACTGGGTGCAGGTATTCAGCTGGGGCTTCACAAGACAGCCTCCTGACATCCTGACAACCACCTCTAAGGCCAGTGGTATGCCCCCATCACAGGGAGGGAAACCAAGGCTCGGCTGGTAACTCAGCATCCATCTAAAACGTGGATTGATGCCGTCTGGGTGGTAGCTGCAAAGCGCTGTCCACCTCGTCACATCACTTTTGATTGTGCCTACACCCTCCCTGAGGTCTGGTCTTTTCAACAGAATGAACGATGTTAACCCAAACGCTTCTATAACTGGTAGGAGTTCCACAGTATACCAAGTAAAGCTCAGGATGCACACGGGGTAGAGAAACTGTCTGGGATGAAGCGGCTACTCCTCAGCAAACCTGTCTCTGATCAGGCTGGCCCAGGCCCCTGCTTTCCCCACCCCCACTGTTGATCACAGACGTGAAGTGCAACAAGACTCCTAAAGACTTCACACCATGGCCTTGCTCATTATCAGGCAGAAGCACCTGTTTCATCCTCCTGCCAAGAAGATTGTGGACTCCATTCTAGAGGATTATGCAAGATATAACACTTGTGAGGATAAAATAACACCTGTGTAACATGAGTTACCAGCAATCTGAGGGACAACAGTGTGTCAAAATCCTTGCAGACCCCACAGACCAGCTGAATGGGGCCACACCTTCAACGTGGGCCAGCAAACTGGAACAACTGGTCTAACCGGCTCCCACTGAGAAGAGCTCTACTCTGCATTAAACTCTTTTCACCATTTCCTGTCGGTTCTGTGATGCCCATGATGACAAGTGGCTCCTCCTTGGAGTGACAGTCAGCCACCACTACTGTCTAGCTCTTCATACACACACTTTCCTTCTCTGGTACAAATGATGCACTTCAAAATTGTTACTGAATAGCAAGATTGGTGCTTTAGTTTGTTTTCTGTGTGGTTTTGAAAGGACAGCTCCTTTCCCCCACGCCAGCATGCTACCAGGGCATGTGGTAACAGACCAGGATGAGTCCGCCTCGTGGACAAAGCACTGTGATTGCCGGGGGTGGTCTTCTCCTTTGAACTGCACACTGCTGTAATATATGTTAGGGTTGCGGGCAAGACTCTGACTCTTGGTGCCAATGGTCAGACACAGGGCAGAGACGTGAACACACAGCCATTTGTGCTCGTGTTGCTGATGGCACCTTTAGTCAAGCCAGGCCTTTGCAAGGCATCGATATTGTTCCTTAGGCATTTCTCTGTGCTCAGCTTGCTGAAGGGTGGTGACTGGGTTTATGATTTTTGTCTTTCTGAGTTCAGTGCATACTCCAACCTGATAAAATAATGCACTGCTTCTCACTAATCACTTGACTTCTGAATGATTCTAAGGTTTATGGCCAGGATGATCATATCATCATAAATCTCTGTATATTGTGTCAAGAAATGGTATGGCTAACATCACACAGAAGATGAACTTGCATGGCCAGATACAGCATCCACAAAATGCCATTAACAGTCAGAAGAGGGCCGGCCCCGTGGCTTAGTGGTTAAGTGCGTGCTCCGCTACTGGCAGCCCGGGTTCGGATCCCGGGCGCGCACGGACGCACCGCTTCTCCAGCCACGCTGAGGCCGCATCCCACGTACAGCAACTAGAAGGATGTGCAGCTATGACATACAACTATCTACTGGGGCTTTGGGGGAAAAATAAATAAATAAAATCATTAAAAAAATATATATATATTAAAAAAAAAACAATCAGAAGAAAAGCAACATTATGATGTAGTGGTAATGAATATAGCAGTTACTGGGTTTTTCTTAATGTTCCCCAAAAATCATAATAAATTCACCAAAGTAGAATAATGTCATTCTGACCCAACTGTTCCTGCAAGAAATGTTCGGTATTTTCCAAACAATGGAAAAATCTTTCTTTAAAATAGTGGCTAAGAACAACGCCACATCCTCTGATTGTTCTAGAAACCTTCCCGTAAGTCATCAAGGGAAACTGCCCTTAAAATACCTTTAAAGCCAGTGTACTTGCCAGCACCACGTATTGTTCCTTCCAGAAAAGCTAACAAGTGTTAACTCCATCCTTCAGCACAGATCCTCTCCTAGATGATGAAAAGTCAGCACGCCAATCCAGGCTGCCTAAGGCTGCTTTTTAAGTACTGGGCGTGGTGCTGCAGGCTGTCAGTTCAAAAAGTTTCCTTGCTCATCTATTACACAAGGCAACTTATCAAATTCTTTTTGAAAGTGTCTGCTCCAAAGATGGCAACAAAGTAAAAAAAAGTTGGGAAGGGGGAGAAAAATGAGTGAGCTCGACTTGAGGAAATTTATAATTTAAATGGTCACACTGTGGAAAATAGTATGGCAGTTTCTCAATAAATTTTTTTTTTTTTAACATCTTTATTTATTTTATTTTTTCCCTCCAAAGCCCCAGTAGATAGCTGTATGTCATAGCTGCACATCCTTCTAGTTGCTGCATGTGGGACTCGGCCTCAGGATGGACGGAGAAGTGGCGCCTCGATGCGCACCTGGGATCCGAACCGGGGCCACCAGCACCGCAGCGCGCGCACTTAACCACCAAGCCACAGGGCCGGCCCTCTCAATAAATTAAACATAGAATCACCATATGATCCAAACGTTATTCTACTTAAGAGTATAGACCCAAAAGAAGCGAAAGCAGGGACTCAAGCAGATTTGTTCATCCATGGTCAAAGCAGCATTACTCACAATGGCCAAAAGGTGGAAGCAGCCCGAGTGTCCCCTGACGGTGAAATGGATAAATCAAATGTCCGCACACAGTGGAATATAATTCACCCTTAAAAAGGAAGGGAATTTTGACACATGCTGCAGCATGGAAGAATCATGAGGACATCATGCTCAGTGAAATAAACCAGTCACAAAAGGATAAATACTGTAGGATTGTATTTACATGAGGCACCAAGACTAGTCAAATTCATAGAGACAGAAAGGGTGGGTGCCAGGGGCCGAGGGAGGGAAAATGGAAAGTTGAGTGTTTAATGGGGGCAGAGTTTCAGTTGGGGAAGATGGAAAAGTTCTGGAGATGGATGGTGGGGATGGTCACACAACAATGTGAATGTACTTAGTGCCATAGAACTGTAGGCTTAAAATGGTTAAGATGGTAAATTTTATGAATATGTTTCCACAATAAAAAAATTAAATTGCCATTTCAAATACTCCCATCAGAAAATTTCCAAAAAGCTATTTAAGAAATATTTTGCCAAGAGGGAAAAAACAGCCCAGCAATTTGGCCTGAGTCAGGTCAACACTGAAGCTACAGCCTCTTGTGACCTGACTGCCACGGGCTGCCAACCTCCCATCACTCATTTCCTGTCCAGTGAGGTCGACACTATGACGGGGTTTACCAAAAGCTCCCTGTCCCCACAGCACACTTCTCAATATGCATGAAGTCTAGTCACTCTCTCTAGGTGGGAATGCAGGGCTTAGAAGAGCTCGCTCTCTCGCTCTCTCTCCCCGCCACCCCCACTCTCTCTTCCAGTCTTCCCTACAGGAGAACCCAATGGACACACATCTGCTTCTTGAGGCTACTTCCCGGGAAGAGAATAGGGAGATTACTGGAGATGGCACTCATGCCAGCTGTAACTGCGATCTGCACACGCTGCGTCAGAACAGAAGGTGACAAAGAAAGTTCACATCATTATTCTGTGCACTGCGTCGGCACTGGGAGTCTGCAATGAGAGGGGACCTAGCCTCATTCTCCCAGTAAATGCCACTTGTGAGGGAACTCCGCCACGCTGGAAAGGCACAGCCCTAAGACACTATCTGAAACAAGTCATTGGGCACACAAGATAAGTCTGGAAAGGGAGGTTCTTTCCCAGTCCTGGAGGGACTTGAATGCTAAAGATAGGAGTCCCCAG